GTGCAAGCGTGCAAGCGTGCAAGCGTGCAAGTGTGTGTCTGCGCGCGTATTTCGCCGCACGCATGTCACTGACATCCGGAGGCCCCGGTGGTCTGATTGCGCGCGTATCGATGTTTGGACTTTCGGCCGGCGTCCTCGCCCTTCGCGGCAGTTTCACCAATGCGGGGCCGGCTGCTTGGAGCGGAACGCCAGCATGGTTGGTCGTCTGTTTGCCCACAACCGGAAGCTGTTGGTCCTTACTTCGGAGGAGCTCGTATGCCTGGAGTTCGACAGGAATCTCATCTATGCTGTGGGGCCGCCCAACAGGTGGCAGTCCCTCCGGTTGGTGCTATCTCCTCAGGCGCGGCTGATCCCGGCAGCCGACAACGGGATGGTGTATCTGGTGCCTTCTCCCATGCACCATCCAATTCTGATTGACCTTCGCCAGCCGGTAAGCCGGTTTTCCTTCTTCCCTAAAGTGCGCCTTCAGTGTGCCCGTGGTGTCACCTGCCTTGCTGGTCGCTGCCAGTGGGGGGGACAAGAGGGGGGGGGGGGGGCAGGCCGCGGGGCCCGCCCGGGGCCCGGCCGCAGGTATGGCAAGAAGCTGACTCTCTAGAATGGCCCGATCGATGGAACACAGCTGGAGTACCTGTTACCGGAGTACATGGCCCCGATGAATGCCCTGTCCGACGGCTGCTCCATCTTCTTCACGGACCGCACTCGGAGGATGCTCCTTCGGCTGGGACCGGGGAGCGGTAATCCACTGCCCGTCGGTGTTAATGAGAGTCCCTTTCATTTGTTGCCGGCCGGCCAGCAGCGGGTCAACATTTTGCCGGATTCCGGAACCCCGCAGAGGTATGACCTGATCAGGTCGGTGAAACTGTCGCCCGAGCTGGTACGTCGGCGGGGTCGGCCCCGGGGGTTCTCCCTCCTCCGGGCCTGGGCTTTTCTTCCTTTCCCCCCCCCCCCCCTCTCTCTCTCCCAGCATCCTGACGAGGATGCCTTCCCATGGCTGCCGACGCATTTCGCCCCCCTGGCGGGTGTCGTCTGTCCGGGCGGGCGCTTGGCCGCGAGAAAGGCCTTCAATCTCTCGAGTATGCCGGACCCGAGGTGGAATTGGGCGACCCCGAGGCGGTGGATGTGCATCCATGAGGGGCTGTTGGTGTCGTTCTTGTTTTTGCCAAGTGGACGGTCGCCCGACCTCCCGCCCCTTTCGGAGACGATCTACTCCCCGACACTCGAGTTTGTCAGGTCCCTGGTGGACAAGCAGCTCGAGGTGCGCTTTGGCCCGGGACGTGTGCTGCTCGGATCGGCTCTCCGCGGAATGCCCCGGCTGGTGGTTGAGGGAACGCTGGCTTTCGACTTTTGCCTGCGATCTCGACAACTGAAGTCCGGCCACTTCCCCTCGGTCGGCAGGCTGGCAAGTCCAAGCGACTCGGGGCCTTCGGACGATCTTCCGGAGCACCCCCGGTCGGGGGGCCCGGAGGCCGGGTCGCCGCCGGGGAACCACTCGGCCGAGACCACCGAGCAGGAGATCTTCTTCCTTGCGAATGCCTCCCTGAAGGGGGTCCATCTGGAGTTGGTAGATGGCCACATGAAGGTGGCACCCCCAGTGAGCCTGATTCACTGGCGGGTCCTGCGGTCGTGGGACATGTACCTCATCGAGGAGCTGGGCATTGTGGCCGTCGTCTCGGCATCGACGATTCTGCTCTATGATCGCCACACTTCGACGGTCGAACGCGCGTTGGAAAAGGTGCGTCCAGGCAGCCGGGCTGGCCCGAGCCCGGGGGGCCGGGCCCGGGCGAGGTCCCCTTTGCCCCGGGGCCCTGGTTAAATGTGGCCAGGCTGGCCCTCGTGGCAAGTGTGTGTACTTACCCCTCCCACAGCCGCCGGGCTGTATGTGCGGGATCTTCGTCCTTCCTGGCAGGTGCCACCGCGTGGCGGTGGTTGCAAGCTCTCGGGTGGACATCTTGGACAACTGGTATGTTGCCATCCCATGGGGGCGTCGCATCGGTCGCCGAGGGTGGCATTCGCTCCTGCTATGGGGAAACTAACATCTGGCACGTCGGGGCGGATGTATGGGCTTTGGGGGGGGGGGGGCGGCGGGAGCCCCAGGGGGGGGGGGGGGCGATAAATCATCCTCGTAGGACGCCTCTAAAGACCTTGAAGCCCGAGGGTAGCTTTTGGCTGAGTGCCACTCAGGCGGATGGCCGGTATATTACATTGCGACGAGATGATGGCTTTTTGGACTTGCTGGACTTCGAGGAGCTGTTTTTCATGAAGAACGCCTCCAAGTCGATGGTACTGACGAGCGGTACGTGCGGCTGCCGGGCGACCTGCGGGGCCGTCCTGGAGCGTGGCCATGGGCGTGGGCAGGAGGGGAGTCACACGCATTGATCGGAGGGGCAAAGCCCCAGCCCCCCCCCCCCCCCCGGGGACAGGACTGACACCATTGCCCGATCAGACGATGTCCAGAATATTTGGATGTGCCCGTGGACGCCTTTGGTGTGGTTCACCGGGTGTCCTGTGGAAGGGGTGTTCACGCTTCACATGGGCACGCGACGCAGCCTCGACGGTGGCGACTCTCCGGAAAAGGAGGCCGTGGTGTCGGTGTGCCTGCGACCGGCGACACACCAGGAGCCAGTGGCCACGGTGCCGTCGACCCGAGAATGGTTTGTGTCCGGCGGAGTGTTCTTTGGGCCTCAAAAGCCCGGTGTCGGCGAGCCGGCCGCACGGGACGGCCATGCGGCTCCGGCGCAGGTGACTTCCCAGCCGCAGTTTCCTCCGGCCAGGGATCATGTAGGCTTCGTTTTTAACTTTGGCTCGCGGGAACACCTTGCGACATCCATGGCCACCGACAGCAAGCCGCGGCCCAAGAAACTCGAAGTGGCTTTCTTCAGCCACAAGGGCCGGCGCTTCTGTGCCCTGAGGTATGTTTCTGGCGCTGCGGACTGCTCGCTTTCCATCTTTGTATGTCTATGTGTCTGTGTGTCTGTGTGTATGTCTGTGTGTCTGTATGTCTGTGTGTCTGTATGTCTGTGTGTC